ACGAATATCTCAAAAAGAACTACCCACGGAGGGTTCTGATCCTAAAAAGTGGACGAACATCTCAGAAAAGGGCTATCCATGGAGGGTTCTAATTGGTAAAGGGTTCTGACCAACGAGGAATTTCATAAAGTGTCATCATATAAAGTGTCGTGGAGTGAAGCCGCTAAAATGTCAAATCTAAGGGGTGTTATAAATGGTATCAGAGTAGGTCCTCTCTCCCAATATGGTGTGGTTTGAGGAAGAACCAAGCAGAAGCTGATGGGCTTGTAACAACCCATACACACTAGAATGAGAGGGATCCAAATATTGTACAAGTATGAGATTGTATAATTGATGATGACTTAAAAAAAATTAATTTGTATTACTTATACCAACAAGATGTATTTACTTTTCGATAGCTTATTATGTAAGAACTCCATAGTTAAGCATGCTTGACTTGGAGTAATTTAGGGATGGATGACCTTTTAGGAAATTTCTCAAAAAGTGTACGAGTGAGGACAAAGCACACTGAAAAGTCTTGTATTGGTTTGTGGGGTCAGTCATTGATCCTAAAAGCGGACAAACATCTTAGAAAGGGCTACCCATAGAGGATTCTGACCACCGAGAAGTTATGTGAAGTGTCACTATGTGAAGTGTCATAAAGTGGAGCCACTAAAATGTCATACCTGAGGGATGTTTCAAAGCATAATTTAACTTTTTTTTCATTGCTTCTCCCATCTTTCTTTTCATAATTTATCATTCTATTTGGGGATTCATGGTATTTCAAATAACTTTTTTTTTGTCTTTTCTATTTCTACATTGGTTACTTTTAAGTTATTTTAAAAAATTATTATATTGACATTTTAGACTTACAATAGGGTTGTTTTTGATAATTTTTTTTATAAGTAATTCTAAGTGGGAAAAAATGAAAAATAAAATAAATTTTTTTTATTAATTAAAATTATTTTATGTACAAACTAATTTATAAAATATTTTTGATATAATTTTTCTAAAAATTTATATTTAATTTATACATAAACTAGTTTTACTTTATTGTAAAGTTTTTTTCCTTTTCATTTTTACCTCTTAGAATTTTTTCTAAAAAAACTTTCAAAAAATTTCAATTCTTTTAGAGATGTTAGTGTAATTAATTCAATTTTTTAAAATTAATTTTTATTTGATTTTAATTTGATATTTTGTTTTAAAAAATAAATATTTGCCATCTAACAACCTCTTATTAGTATAATAAATATTCCTTTGAATTTGAACTATAAATAGGCATTGACTATGGTGGACAAGTTTATCATATTACCATCGGTGCACAAGTGAACGCTAACTATTTTTATTAATTTATTTTATTTAAGATTACTAAAAAAAGTCCTTTTTTAGAAGCTATTTGGATTTGATCAGACTCGTAGCTGTTTTCCTCACTTCCCTCCCTCTCAACTTTCAAACTCTCTTCTTCCCTCTCTTACTCTCTCCTTGCTGAATTCACTCTCTTTTCTGGATTTCAAGGTGCTAATTAGTGGTGTTTGGAGCTAGCTGTGGGCGTGGAGCTTCTCTTCTTCTCTGTCTCTCTTTCCCCCGTTCATTTCTCCTTCCCGGAAGCTCGGATCCTTGCACCGAGGTAAGGGAAGCTAGGTTTTTGCAGATTTTTGGCTGAAAATGAGTTCTAGAAGCTCATTGTTGTTTGACGATTTGATGACTGCTAGCCGAGATTGATGAAATTAGTTTTCGGGTTTTCGGGGTTTCGGGTGAAATTTGGGTTTTTAACGATTTGTGGTTGCATGTGTAAAAAAAAGGTATTTTTGAGATGTTTGATGAAAATGTGGCATTTTGGCTGGTTTGCATGTATTGAAAATGTGGATTTTTGCAGGTTTTGGGAAAGATTTTTGAACTTGGTGAGTTGCTACTGGGTATCACGCCGGGTGCAGTTCTTCGCGCCGGGTGCATGACCATCAGAGGACTCCATTTGGGCAAGCACGCCGGGCGCAATGGTGTATGCGTCGGGCGAGCTTGAGAGTGTGAGCCTCTGGATGGCCCACGCCGGGCGTGGTGGGACAACGCTGGGCGCGATATCAGTGGGTGACTTATGTTTTGTGGTTCTAGTTTGGCGCCGGGCGTGACTTTGTCTCGCCGGGCGTAGAGACTCCTTGGGAGTCTCTGCCAGAGGTGGTGTCGGGCGCAACTTATATTGCACCGGGCGTGAGACCCTGGGGAGGTCTCTGCTTTCTTACGCTGAGCACAGGATTAACACATCGGGCTTATGAGACCTTTTGAGGTCTCTGTCTCCCATCACGCCAGGCGCAATAGGAATTGTGCCGGGCACACTGGGCCTCTGGTGCTCTCTGGTTATGCCACGCCGGGCGCGACCATGAGTGTGTCGGGCGCGTATATGCTGTTGCCTTTTTGTTGTCTTATGTTGATCATTTGCTGAAATTGCTGATAGATGTTTGTTTATGCTGAGCTGAGCGGTTATTGATGAATATTGTTGTGCTGTGAGTTGTCTATGTTGTGCTGTGTATTAGTTAGCTGTGCTGTAAGTTGATATTGCTGTTAAGCTGTGCTGTGCTGTATGCTGATATAACCTGTTGTAGGCCGTAAGGCTGAGTTGTTGTAGGCCGTAAGGTTGAGCTGTTGTAGGCCGTAAGGCTGAGCTATTGTAGGAGATCTCCGAGCTGATATGCGTGACGACGCATTGTGTGTTTATTGCTGTTTATGTTGTATAGTTGATGAGTTGTATGCTGATGATGTGCTGATAGCTGTAGCTGTTTACTATTCATGTATTTTCATATATGTATGTTGATTCTTTTCACTAGCTTACCCTTTTTTGTTTCCATGTGTTTGGACTGCAATGATCATACATTGTATGGGAGCAGAGCAGGGTTAGGCTGGTGAGTTGAGGCAGGTCTGCAGCTGGTAGATAGAGCTGATTCTTTTTGATGTTTTGATGTTTTGGCACTAGTTTGGCTACTTTGGGCTGTATTGGTACTCTGTTTTGTTCAAGCCCCAGATTTGGACCTTGTGTATATATTCTAGATGTTTATATATATACTTGTTCTTTCTGTGTGGTGCTGGTTTGATGAGCAGTGTGTAGTGACCAGCCGGGTCGTTACACCAACAACCAATGCTTGCCCTTCATTTGACGACGATGCACTTGTCGTAGATCCCTTTATCAAGGATGGCCATGTTCTGACCATCATAAGGACTTCAAGGGTTTGATTTGGTTGGATTTTGACAAGGGAGGTGTAGTTGTGGAAAGGGTGTGTGGTGGTGTCGGAGGTGGAGTGGGGAGGGTGGTCCTGCACGAGTACACAATGATGAGGGACTGGGTGGTGTGATAATCAAAGGATAGACCAAGCTTGGAAACGAAGTCGTGACAGACATGAGCATGGTGGAAGAGGGCGAGGGTGGCGTAGGAGAGGAAGAAGGGGAAGGCAAAGTTGTTGGGAATGAGGCTAAGAGAGTCCAGGTGGTGGAGTGGGGAGAGTGGTCTTGTGGCTGGGTAGGGAAGGTCGACAAGCATGTTAGTCTCCTCCTTGAAAATAACCAATTCAAAAATGTTGTCTTCATCAACCTTCTTTACTTCTTTGATAATTGCTAGTTTCTCTTTAAGTTTAACTTCAACTTTGATGGTGGTTATTAACTTTTCTATGAGTTTGGGTTTAGCTTGGGTAGTTGGCGAGGGAAGAGGGTCAACAATGAACTGCACTTCTTTCGTCGGAGGTAATTTTTGGGATTCGCCGATCATAAATGGATTGGAAATGAAAGGATTATGAACAAAAAGAAACACAAATAAGAGTGTTGACAACAATGATGAGGATGTCCATCCGATTATTGGAGTTAAAATCAAACCAGAAGGGAGCGATGACAATGGTAATGGAGAAGTGAAAAGGAAGATTGAAATAGTTGAGTGAGATTTAGAATTTTTTTTTTATTTGAACAAAAATAATTATTTATCATAAAAAAATAAAACTAATATATTAATAAAAAATTTATCATTAAATAAATATGAATTGTTTAATTTAATTACTTATATATATAATGATATTCTTTAATTCTTCACAGATAAATTATATAATAAATCATATAAACACTATTGTTGATTGACCCATACAAAATATGATATATGATGATCTACCGTACGTTTCGCCCTACAAATAGTATAAAATAAATTATTTTCAGCAAGAGCTTAGAAAATAGAAAGATAGGATAACATTACTGTACAAACGCGTAATTTGCAGTTTCTACTTCAAACTGTTACTACCTACCAAACCGTTAAACGCGCAACTCATTATGTGTTCAAAGCGAGTAATATTTTCTATTCGGGACAAACTTTTAAATGCTTATATTTGGACACATAAGCCGTAACAGTAACATTAACTTGCCTAACTCGTGTTTTTTTTCCTCTAATCAAAGATTACGTTTGCCATTGCCCAACACAAAGAAAGACAACATATTATAGGAAAAATAAAACCATCCAATTTACCCATTTCATGACCCAAACGTTGTCTGAGTCCAATCTTAATTAGTCACCCATCACCATCCTCCTTCCTTTCTCTCTCTCCATTCAGACCAACACAAAGATAAACAAAAAAGCACCAAAATTTATTCAAACCCTTCACACCTAATTTTCCCTTCAGTTGCGGAGCCACTACAAAATACTAAATAATAATAACAATAATTAACATACCATAATTAACCACATATTATTGTCTAATCCGTTACTTTTAATGCATTTTTATTATTCAATAAATTATTGACTAAATCTTCAAAATTAATCCACTCCTATTTATTAATCTTAAGAATTCCAAATACATAATTTATGTATTCAAATACTAATATTTATTATTAACTATATTTTCAATACATTATTATAAGTACATATCGACTAGATATTAAAAATTAATAAATTCATCCCATGTAAAAAATGAAGATTATTTATTTGATCCCACAAGATGGTCTAAGGAAAATATGAGATATATAGTAGTATTTATTCTATAATTTGTATAGATAGAAAAGTGTGTTGAGAAGGAATAAAGAATGGGTATTGTAGTTGAGTATTTTAATCCATCTTCATTCTTCCCCCATCTCACACACTTAAAAAGAAGAAGAAGTAACTAAGCAAAGAAACAAAGACAGCATCTTCTCCATTACTCTTAAAACACAAAACAAAACCCTCTCCCACCTTTCAAAGTGGTGGGAGATCCACTGCATCTCATTTCATTTGAATTTCATTTGGATTTGAATCTGACATTGAATTGAGAATGAAGAAACTGAAGAACTACTACATGCACCTGAGGCACCAGCAGCAGCACCACCACGGGGAGCGGAAGTGGGTGTTCCCGCTGGCGGTGGGCTCCCTCCTCAGCCTCTTCCTCCTCTTCGTCGCCACCCTAACCTCGCCGGCGGGGACCCCGCTCCTCCCCTTCTACCGCTCCCTCACGGCCGCCTCCTACTCCGTCTTCGTCGAGTCCCGCCTCCGCCCCCTCCCGGTGCCGGCCCTCCCCCCGCCGCCGCGCCTCGCCTACCTGGTATCGGGCTCCGCCGGGGACGGGGCGGCGGCACGGCGCGTCCTCCTCGCCCTCTACCACCCCGAGAACCGCTACGTGGTGCACCTGGACCGCGAGGCCTCGGCGGAGGAGCGCGCGGATCTGGTGCGGTTCGTGGAGGGCAACGCGATCTTCCGAAGGTTCGGGAACGTTAGGGTGATCAAGAAGGCCAACCTCGTCACCTACCGTGGTCCCACCATGGTCGCCAACACCCTCCACGCCGCCGCCATTCTCTTGAGGGAGCTCGGTGATTGGGACTGGTTCATCAATCTCAGCGCCTCCGATTACCCCCTTGTCACACAAGATGGTTACTTTACTTACTTTACTTGCTTTCTTACTTACTTACTTTTTCTTAATTTTCCCTTGCCCCATCCAGCTTTTTCAGTTTAATCAATGCTTTCCAATTCATCCCCTACTTGGTTTTTTAGTTTAATCAAGACATGGGTGTTTCAACTTCAGTGATCTCGAATTTTTGTATATGCACTATGCAACTATGTCAATTTTGCTTATTTGTGTTTTTTGTTTTGTTTTGTGGTACGGTTAGATCTGCTGCACACGTTTTCGTATTTGCCTCGGGATCTGAATTTCATTGATCATACGAGTGACATTGGATAGAAAGAGTGAGTTGTTTAATTTTTATTTTTTTTTATGATGTTGTTTTTGTTGATATTGTTTGTGTTGTGTGGGGTTTTTTGGTTTTGTTTTGGGGATTTATGTGATTGGTTTTTGCTCTGTCAGTCACCAGCGTGCGAGGCCGATAATCGTTGATCCGGGGTTGTATATGAACAAGAAGCAGGATGTGTTTTGGGTTACGCAGAGGAGGAGTAGACCAACGGCTTTCAAGCTTTTCACCGGTGAAGATCCTTTTCTTGTCTCTTAATATTGCTTTTTAGTTTCCTTCTTTTTATGGGAAAAATGGTTTATTTTTTATGTGGATAGATATTCCATGTTTGCTCGGGCTCTGGGGTTTTCTTGATTTTGGGAAGGCATGACCCCTAGCTTGGTCGCACCTTTTTACATTAAAAGGAAGCTTTGTTTGAAATTGCGAGGCAATTAAGGTTTTGAAGGTTAAAAAAATGTTGTGTAGTAGTGTCAGTTATGTTCTGGGGTTTGTAAGCATGGCAGAAAGCATCACTTGTTATTTGTGAGTAATCAGTTCTCCTTCTGCGGGATGATTGTGTTATGTCTCAGGACTTGTTAATGGAACTTGTTTTATGTGATTTGTTGGATGCATTTCCGTGCATCAAAAGTTTAGAAGTTAAAACAAATTGGTTCAGAAGTTTAGTCCAACTCATCTGTGTCAGATTACTGAACACTTTTTGAAATATAAGATAATTTTATATGCTTATTTAGGTGTCTTGGTAACCTTTGTAGACTTTTCCATGTTCTATCTTTTGGACTAGATCAAATAATTGTTTTTCTTGTTTCAACTTTCAATTAGGAGTGGCAATAACAGGATGGATACATTATTGGTAAATGTCATTTTTATAAATGACAGCTTCTGGGCGTTTTGTGATTTCAGTAACTGGCAATATCAATTGTAATGCCTTTTATTCTTAATTTAATGCATGACATAGCTGGAAACGATCTTTATCTAGTCTCTATGGGTAAAAATCTGTGCAAGGTAATTGTAAAAGTGAATCTCCTAATAACACTGATTTTCTGAAAAGAGGCAATCACCTGCTTTTCTCTCTTTGGAATATTTCTTGGATCTGGGCTAATAATAAGGATGTAGCATCTGACTTACATTGGCTGACTTAACATAGGACATCTAGGTGTTAATATTCTTGGTATTTAAATTTTCATCTTGGACAAGGATCCTCAAAGGCGAGCTTGTCTCTAAAGTGAGCAAGGTGTATCCACCCTTTTATTATTTATTTTAGTGTTCGAGTGCATCATGATCTTAACCTACTGAAATTTGATGGTGGATACAGATACTCTTCAAGGAAGCTCTCACTTAAGAAGATTTTTTCCACTTTAATAGAAGAAGACAACTTTTTGGAAGGATACTTTAGGTTTTCTGTTAATAGCAAGATGATGTTTTCTGCCAGTGAGATGGGTACAGTGCACTGAGTGCAGCAACATATTGGATGGGTTTATTAGTTATGGCTTTTTTGTTCATATGCTATTATACCGCTTATGCTGGCCTTTGGGAGCGCTCATCATGTTTCTCCCAAAATAAGGGAACTAGATGGGAGAGTATATCCTGTAGGATAATGATATTCTGCTTAGCATAAAATATTGAACTGTGATTGGCATGAGTATAACTGTTGTAGTACAACGATCCTCTCAATGTCCTAGATTGAATCAAATCCACTAGCAACAGCCAAATCCAGCCGATTCATTTTGGTTCTACATTGCACCATAGATACAATTGTGGTTCTTTGAGAGTCTTTTGTTGATTGTTAGTTGAACTAATTTTGTGTGATAATGTTATGCATTGTGACTCATCTTCCCTTCATGAATGTGACGGGTGGGTTGTATTTGAACTGATCTTGTATGGTAATGTTATGCATCATGACTCAGCTTTCCTCCTTGAACTAGACAAGTTATGTGCTGCTTGACTATATAACGTTATAATAATGCGTTTAATTAGTCTTCTTATTCAGAAATAAACTGCACTTGTTTTTAAAACATGCATTGTTTAAGCTTAATTGATTTGTACTTTTTTAAAAAATAAGTTCTAGTTTCTACTTTCTAGTACACTTCATAGAAATTGAAAATATATTGAAATTTGGGGTTTGTATGTACCTAAGAGTGAATATTATCATAAATGACTACCTAAAACTTCTCTCTTGTTAGGTTCCGCTTGGATGGCACTGTCAAAATCTTTCATTGATTACTGCATATGGGGATGGGACAACCTACCTCGCACTGTTCTCATGTACTATTCAAATTTCATATCTTCCCCTGAAGGATACTTCCACACAGTTATTTGCAATGCTCAAGAGTTCCGGAACACGACTGTGAACAGTGATCTACATTTCATTTCTTGGGACAATCCTCCCAAGCAGCATCCTCACTACCTTACCGTTGAAGACATGGGAAGCATGGTTGGCAGCAACGCTCCCTTTGCGAGAAAGTTCCACAGAGAAGATCCAGTGTTGGATAAAATCGACGCGGAACTATTATCCAGAGGCCCCGGAATGACTGTTCCGGGAGGTTGGTGCATAGGAAGCAGGAAGAACGGCACCGATCCTTGCTCTGAAATCGGTGATACTACAGTCCTGAGACCTGGCAATGGTTCCAAAAGGCTTGAAAAATTAATCAGCTCATTGTTGTCGAATGAAAAGTTCCGGCCTAGACAGTGCGTGTGAGGTGTTGTTATTTTTTCCACTGGCTTTAGTTTATATGTGCACGTTTAGTTAGAAGGATGAGTAAATTAGTTTCATTCCAGTAGGAAAAGAAATAGTGAAAATATACACAGTCTCTGATATTGAGAAGAAAAAAAGTGAGACAATTCTGGTGAAATGTGATTGACTAGCAATAGAGAGTTGGATCGCACACTGTAATAGTATGGTATATATGACAGTTGACTCTGTTGTCCCTGGTCACCTCTTCCCCCCTTGTGACATCAACCAGCCAAATTTGTGTGACCAGCATTGAAGCTTCCCTAGCTTTTCTACCCTCCATTCGTGGAACAAGAAAGAAATGGATATAAAGTGGATGACATGGTTGGAGTGGGGAACAAAAGAACAAAACGTGTGAAATGGAATGGAAAAACTTTTTATGTATTTTTTATTTGCTTTTCCATTTTGATGTTGTTATACGGCTAACTTCTCCTTTCTTTTAGTCAATGCATCTTCACGTATGCTTTGGTACCAAACTTACTGATATCATTTTCAAATGGTTTGTTCTATAAATGCAGTGGCCCAACTCTTCATATCGCTTTCAAATTGGTTTCAACAATTGTAAAACACGTTAACTTGGTATTTTAGCCTTCATTGACGGGTCTATCAAGCTACCAATAATATACAGTCCCGTTTGCCAATGGTCATAGCAGTTAGAGTTTTGACTTTGTCATTGTGGAGGATGGGTTTGTTAGAGATGACTATTTGACTGTGTCTGACTTGAATATTCCTCATTCAATGGTAATGTTGTGTAAAGTCTTATTTATCCCTCCATTAATTCTGAGTTTTGACCTGTTCTAGAAAGTCACAACTCAAAAATTTAGTCTATTATGGATTATTTTGCCAAAGTTAGTGGGAAAAATTCCCAATCTAAATGCATCTTGTACAAGTAGCATATTTTTTCATTCTTAGGCCAATGGTATCATAGGAGGCATGGTGGGGGCTTGTTACATTCAATCACACATAAACCTTTATTGCAATGAAGGACTAATATAAGATGGTGAAGTGCATTTATGCTCTGTTTGGGGAAAATTGGTACCATGAAGTACGAATTAAAACTATTTTAGAAAGTACTACATATGGAGATGGGAAGAAACCTTACCCCATTAAGAAAGTGGGGAGGGGACTTTCTAATGATTTATTGTATGAATTTAAGGCCCAACAGAAGAGGGTACTGGCTCAGTGGGTCTTAAAAATAGTTTCTTTTATAGTAAAATATCCGAGGCAAAAACAATTCATGTAATGCCAAACATGAAATAGATACCTTCCAAACAAAATCTATACATCAACCTTTAAACGATTAATGGCACCTCATGTAATTATAAAGATAAAATCACAGGAACCAGTTCCGACCCAATCAAAGAAAAAGAAAAGAGAAATGGAACTAAAAAACAAAAGAAAAAGGGGGGAAAATAGTATATCATGCAAAATATAAAACATTTATTTATTTTTCATCAACTTTGGACTAACCTCAGGGTTGGCTTGGTTGGATAATGTGTGTGTTTAGATAAAAGTTGAATTCAACTCAACCTATTTTTACTTCAAAACAATAATCTTGTTACTTTTGCATTTTAAGCTTTGAAAAATAAAATCAGACATTCCAATACTTTTAAACAGGTAACCAAACACATTCAATTTGTTTCAATTGTACAAATGTCAATGTGGCATTGTCTTCCATTTTCAAGCTTTTAAACGGCTCAATTTGCAATATATTTGTTGAAGATGTAGTGTTCACCCTAGAAATCTTTGTAAATATAAATTACTTTTTAACCTTCTAAATCCATCAAATCAGAAAAGCTAAGACGAGTTATTTTCTGTATCCCTCTCCAAACTTAAACACGAGTTTAATATTCGAAGCCTACCCCTCTAAGCTTAAGTCACTGCTGCAAATTTTATTCTATAATATGTTAAATTTACTTCTAGAATTTCAATTCCAAAAGTGAGCAACAAATTATTTCTGGAATTAAAAATTTAGTGTAAAAACTACATAATTAGCTTGTTTAAATAGGGGTTATGGAAGAAAAAACACTTTTTTTTAATTTTTTTTAAAAAAAGAACACATATTCAACTTGTTTAAATCGGGATAATTTTAGAATAAGAATTAAAAAAAATAAAGGGCAGTCCTATTTTGGTAGAAAAAGGTGATACAAAAAGTAACCACCGTTAGGTTATACTAATTATTTTTAATTGGCAAAAGAAAAATGTATAACTCTTTATATTTTTATAAATAAATTATTTTGATTAGATGGTCGTAATTTAATTATATACAAAGAATAAAAAAAAACCTAAATTGTAGTTTTCGTACGGTACATAAAATTTATCACCTAGTCCTTGAAAGGCAATTGGACGAAATGAAAAAAAGAAATCCATTGCAAATTTAAAGCATTTTTACACAATAAAAATAGGAAAACATGTATATTATCGGTAAAAAAAAAATATTAAATTATGTCTCTGATTAACTACAAAAGTATTTATATATCTATCAAAAGTGTGGTCTCCAATAAAAAAATTAGATTAAAACAAATTAAAAGAAAATGAGGAGTATAATTTTCACCTATTATAAGTGTCCCAATGAAATTAAAAAAAATATGGAAGAATACATCCAATAGCAAAGAGATATAAAAAAAGGTTGCAAGCATTTCAATCAAAAATCTAAAACACAAAGAAAAATACTTATTTGAGTAAGAATATTAAAATGATGGTAAAAGAAAAAGAAGAAGAAAAAATAATTAGAGAATGATTGTATTTTTTAAAATGTTGAATATACTTAGTGTATTTAACATGCGGTTACTTATGGTGTATCAGCATAATAAAATATTAATATTAGTTTTATACGTGTAAAATGTAGTAGTTATTAATATTGATTTTATATTTTTTTATGAAAAAATAAAAAATAAAGTAAAGATGTCTCCCACATTATTCATACCACATGAAAGTAGCAAAATTTCATAAAGTCATTTAGTCAATCTTTATTTTGTTTTATTTTTTGGTTTTGAAAGATTCTAACTTTAATCCAATTTTCATCATTTATGAGAATTCCTACTCCCATTTATACTCTCATCTATTTCCACCACTTTTTTTTTTCCATTTATTTTATTTATTTTGTCTTTTTTCTATTTTTCATTATTTTGGCCTATTAACTGCCAACCCATCATGAAAATGAGGCAAATTTGTCACAGTGGGACATGATTAGTTAATTCACTTTGCCACTTCTAATTCATAATGTTTCTTCTTTATATCAGTTTACGTGTGTGGTTTGGATAGTTTTGAAAACCAACTCACAAAAGGACCAACATGTTAATATTTTTAGAAATTTTATGAGTAACAACTTTCAAGAATGGAAAGGCAGAAATCCATAGTTTTAAAAACCGGACCGGTCATCCAACCGGTTAAGGTACTGGGTCAGTGGGTCAAAGGTTGAACCGGTGGGTCACTAGTTGAACTGCATGACTCGATTTTTATTTATTTTTATTAAAAAATATTTATATTAAATATATTTTATACTTATAAATTTTAATAAATTTATATCTTATTTTAAATTTCAATTTTTCTATCTTATTTAAAATTATTTTTATTTTTATTTTATAAAAAAATACATAAAAAAATTACATGTTAAACGGTATATTAATACAAATTAAAAATATAAATAATATGTACATATATAATATGCTTGCAATTAATATCACAAAATAATATATGTAATATTTACATAGATATTGCATTATTAAATATATAATTTAAAATTAATAATATACTATAAAAGTTATTTAAGTTGTATATATTGCAAACAAATATATTAGAACAAGTAGTCATTGTTATATTTAATAAGACTCCTTGCTTTTTCATTAAGAGATTCAATTTTCATTATTATTTTTGTGATTTATGGTCCCTTAAAAAAATT